ATGTATTTAATATTTGGATTTTGTAAGTTTCAATTTGTCTGGGCATATTTAAATGAGCCTCTTTCTGTGCAGGTCTTTACCAATTATGTCAATTTATAATATTTTCAAAAGCTTTTAGGCAGTGTAGGCCCCCATTTTTTTAAACAAAATTAAGTTCATATTTAGAAAAAAATGCATAGGTGCCTAAAGTATCATAAATGAATTTTTGATGGGACTGTTCATTGAGGTCATTTGCTGTTGTTTTGAGATTGTCCAGCTGTGATTTTTACTTGACGCTTGCCAGGTTAAATTACTCCCAAACCAAACTGTTGTAAAGGAAGGGATCATATCTTAAGATGCAAAACTATGAACTTTTGAACAACCAAGCTGCTCTCTTTAGCTTATCCTTTGAGATTTCCATCCTTTGTATGGTTTCAATAATTGCAATGTTCAGTCATCTTATAGACATCATTTCAGTGTCTTATTGACTGAAATTATGCCTCCTATTCGCATCTGATAATGGTTCTGATTTTGATTCATACAATTCAGACACTTCACAGCAGTAACCGCAAGAGAAGCACATTGTAATTATTTTGCAATCCCTTTGTTATTGATGTCATTTTATCTCTCATCCCTGCATGCTCTTTTTGTACATGCACATCCCATAATATACATTTAGTACTAGGAACAGGGAAACAACTATGGGGTGGGAGTCATGTAAAGTCGTGTATTTTGACCTAAGTGTTTTGTTATCACCAAACCCATGTAACTGAAGGTTTCAATTTTGTCAGACATTCATTTGGAGCTAGATCCTCTCAACTGCAGTGGGTTTATGCCTGATGCAGTTCGGAAGGGGCAGATGGGGTGCAAGCTCACTCAGACCTGAATGGTAGTCCAGTTGCCCCCTCCTGGTATGCTTTCTCCCTTCAGAAAAAAAAAAAAAAAAAAAAATTATCTTGATAGCACATAAAAATGCACATGCTAAGTCACATGCCTTGTATAGCTAAAAAGGAGATAGAAGACTCCTGACAAATTATGAAATCTGCTATGTAAACCTATAAATTTCAGGACAAATACTGCTTTTTAAATGATTCAGGGAAGGTAACTCCAGGTAGCTTAATCCAGGGTCTCAGAAACTTAACAAAAAGCTTTTTCTCATTCTTAGATTGAACCCTTATTGAACTTAGACCAATGCCCCCGTATTTTTAAAGAATGACTGATTCCTGCATTTATATGCTAGGCTGCTATCCCTTTTTCCAACTATTTTTTTTCTGCTTTCTTTAAAGAAAAAAGAAAAATCTTTTGAGAAAGCTGTGTTTTCCATAACTTTTATGTGTTTCTTTCCTCTAAGATATATGATTTATTTCCATATTCTAAAACGTTACCGGAATTAAGTACATACTATAATAGTTGTCTAACCTGTTTCTTAAGAATAGGTACATTACCTTTTTAACATTCTTTCAAGTATTAGATTTTTATACTCCCAGAATGAAGTTTTTCATTTTGGAAATAGCATTATAACATTGACTGTTATTTTACTGCCTATATACTTTAAGGTCCACATCCCTCTTTTCTCCGTATTACATTGCCTTTTTCTTTTTTCTCCTTCCTACTTGAAAGATCTTGTGTTTTCTTTGTTAATTTAATTCTCTTGATTTTGGACTCTATCTCTTAAATGCCAAGTTTATTTTTAACCTTTGATTCTTTCTTTTTATGTCTTTACATGAAACAGTCAAAATATTCCATAGACCTGACAGAAATCTGCACAAAAGCTGACTGACAATAATGTATATACCCACTTCACTACCTCAAGATAACTATGGTATTCCTTATGGGGATTTCCAGCAGCAGATGAACACAACATACAGGCACATGCATGATTTATAATGCATGTTTTATAATGACATACATGGTTTATAACCTCAGACCACTTTTTGTGCATAAGGCTCAATGGAAGATAGCTCTAATTATTGCTTTGTTTTAATGGTAGTTTGAGTGGGTTATGTGTTTATACTTGTGCAGAAAATGCCTTTCAGTCACACCTAACAAATGCCATACTTATGGATGCTGTGTCTGATACCCTTGCTATGAACATATGCATGTTTTGGCTTGACTTTGGTGTAGGCACGTTGATAAGCTCTCTCATGTCATTTATTTGCTATCATCTTGTTTATTCCAGTTTTGATTTCAGGTTATGGTGGCAGCAGTTTGTGCAACATCTAGTGCATGCTTATATAAAAGAAGTGGAGGAAGCTAAATATTCAGAGGTACAACACTGTCACATAGAGGATAATTTTGTAGATTGCCATCATCACCAAAAGCTGTCTAAAAATAAAAAATGTCAAACTAGTAATGCTGCATGTATGCACTCTTTGTAACAAGAAAAGGTAAAACCAGTATGTGGCAATATGTGGTTTTATGGACAATGTAATTGGTCCAAGGTTGATTTTAAATTTTATCTCAAAGTCAAGAGCATGAAATATCTCTTGTAAAAATTAAATTAGCACATATCTGAAATGTTTTATCCTGATCTGACGCAGATAGAATGCATCCATTGATTTTGCTGGGAAAAAATTCAACTCCTATCACTTGGGGAATCTGCCCTCTCATCGGCACTGAAGATCTGAGAGGCATTGGTGCTTACTAAAATTAACAGGAATAGCTGATGTTCTTGGAAACAAACCCTGTGGAGTTGCATTATTTTAATATGCTACTTTTTTTTTTCTTTTTAATGTGTTAGCTATTTTTATTATAAGGTCCACCAGAAAGATTACATCCTGCAACACAGAAAAATTTCATCTTTTTGTGACAACCACTTTAATGACAATGACTTTTCCTCTGAGAAAGTTATTCCACAATGTATTGAGCAAGATATAACCCCTTTCAGCTAACTGACAATGATACTGTGAAGTAACACCAGAAAAATGTTTTTTATCATTGCAATTTATAGTATTTGATGTGTGCTCTGGTTTTACCAAAGCTGAAAAAACTGCTTAGAATTTTTTACAGAAGAGAATGTTATCACCAGTAATGTATTATTTTGAAGTTTCTTGAACATACATTTGCCTATATTTTAATGTTAATATGTAGCTTTTGAGAAGAGAAACACTGAACAGAGATAAAAATCTCCGACCACTATTTGTTGTAGCAACGTTTGGGCACAGTTGTAGTGAGCAGAGCATGGCCCTTCCAGGGGATGGATCTGTCTGTAATGTGGATTTTTAGGGAGCCACTTCAGGAACAGATACTCAGCCACCCGTCCCTTCTAGTCTTCTCAGAAGAAACATTACTGAAGGTGACCAAATATCAGATCCATCTCTGGGACACAGCAGTGTCAGCTAAGCTTAGCTCTTACCACAGACACAGGCTGATATGATTGTAAAAAAAAAAATGGTTTCTTCTGTTTAAAGCAAATTTTATTCTCCTCTGATCAGCAGCAAGGGGAGTAGTTAGTGTTCACCAGACCTTTGAGTTTTAGAGATAAAGACCTTTCTTTGGCCTTATGCAGCTTATCTTGGATTCCATATATTAGTACTTAGAAGTCTATTAATCCTAACTGAATGTGTTTTACTAGAAACTTTGAAATAAAAAGGCAGGGTAACAGCTGAACAAAACAGAGGGTATCCACTTCTTACCTGGTATTCCCCCTGACATTTCAGTATCCAGCTTCTCTCAAACAGTGTAGCTGTGGCAGCAGAGATGGGGAGATACTGAGTGATTGAATCACCTCTGACATTTATTTTGAGTCTTGAAAACAGTATTATGCATTTACAGTGCAGTCATTTTTCAAATTGAATTTATCCTTGTGGACTTTTCCAGCTTTCTTCTTATGAGGTGATAAGACTGTTTCAAGTTTTGCTCACATTTATTTTCCAGTCATGCTTCATAACTGCTTGAAGATCTGCCATACCAGTTTTGTTATGGCACATGGACTAGTCCACCTAACCATGGCTGTGAATTGCAGGAAAGGCCAGCAAGCAGTTTAAGTCACTGATGCTCTGGTTTAGCAGTCCTTCACAAAAAAAACCCAAACATTATTAGTGCATTAAATTTAATGTGGTGCTGAAATAAATGTGTATAAGCTGTAAAATTTCAGCCCACTAATAAAAAATAAATAATTTGGTTTGCTTTAAACTCCTTCAGATTGTCAGTTGGTTTTCCCGCTGGGCAGTTTTATTCTGTTAATCCAGCCGCTGCTATGAGCAACTGATTCATTCAGCTAGTGTTTTCCTGTAACTGTTCAGAATTAATTCTGCACATCAATTTCAAACAAATTCCAAACATGCAAGAAGATGCCCCAATGGTATGAAACTTTGCACAAAAACATAGGAGTTACACAGAGTCCATTCTGTATTATGCTTACTATATTACTTAATGTAATACAATAATACTATGTTACAAGTGCAGAAGTAGCAAGAAATCTAATTTTACATGCAAATAAGTTATGAAAGTCTTACTAATGAGACCTGCTGTAGTTTCCTAGCTTCTTACCTTATTGCTTTTTAACTTTCCCTGAATGTCTCAAGTCTTAGAACAAATGGTGTGGTACTGAATTGGTGAAGGAGCACTTTCTCAAAAATTCCATTCTTTTTTCTTCCTCTACTATTTGCTGTTGCAGTTTTCTAATTATTTCATGTAAATACGGAACAAACCTTGTAACATCTCCCATAGCAGTAGTATGCGATGACAAGAGGCAAAAAGAAGAGTCACTTGCATAGTGCTATGCTACCCACAATAGCATATGCAAGTTTTATAGTATAGGAAGCAAATAATTGGGCTAATGTTTTACAAATATTTTTGATGTCTTGATGTTAACATTGAAAACCACTCAATTAAAAGGTGAACATATTTCAAGTCATAGCAAATCTCTGGAAAATACCTTTCACTTGAAGAACTTTTAATTGCTTGCTTGAACCAAAAATATATTATTTATGGATTAAAAATTGTCCAACTGTATTTGCGTGAATCATGGTGGAGATTTTTACTGTTTTAATATATTAACTGAATGTCTTGTATCACATCCAAAAACCAAGTCCATCCAGCTCCTATAACTGAAGAGCAGAAAGTTCCCCATGCCTCCCCTGCCTATAGTCTGGTCTGCAGGTGAACTTCTGTTGTTCTTCCTCTAAAGCACCTGTGTAATCAACTTTGAGTGGTCAGGAAGGTAAATCAATCCATTTAAAAGTTTTTCTTTCTAAAATGGTTAATTATAGCTCCTGATTATAACAAGTACTACATAGTAATATTCTACCTTTGTACAGCACCTTCTATCTCAATTAATTTTGCAAATGTACTTCTAGAAAAGTACAAACCTGCAAGACAGAGCAACAACCTTTCACTGAGAACTGCAGACATTTTACCTCACAACAGTAACTATCGAGGTTTATATATAATTTGTGCTTTGCTTCTACTTCACATCCAAAAGATGCTGCACTTAATACATTTGCTCAGTCCTACTCCATAAGGGAATAAACAGCAACAAAAATATGCAGTCAGCATTTTTCTTCTTAGCAGGCCCTGTAGGCTGTATCAGAGTGTTAATAGACAGCTTCAGTAGGTAGAGTAAATGGGCTGTCCCGTCTACTGTGTAGAGTTAAGGGGACACAGGTCCTCTAATGCCCTCTGAGATTTCTTTTAATGAGCCTTTGGCAACTTCTTTGCATGTGGAATCAAGAACTCTTACTGCTTCTCCTGCGCAGCTGCACTGTAATTGTGAATGTTGTATTACGCATAAGTTTTGTGATGGGATTCCTAAAACAGTTTTCTATTCTGAACATCCTTGAGTATAAGGTACACAAATCTCACTTTGTGTACCCAAACAGTATGTGTGTTTCACATATTCAAAAGAGAATTGGTGGGACAATGGTATTCTGTCTACAGGATGAACCAAAACAAGTTCGTCTGTGGGCTAAAACAGGTTTTCTTTTCCTTTTTAATCCTGGGATCCCTCCTTGTTTGCCATGAATTCTCACCAGGAACCGGATGGCACCGAGGAGCACAGTGACCTGTAAGGCTGGCTGGTACTTGCCTGGTGGCTGGCTGGCAGACTGCTGGCACGTAGAGTGCACAATGGCTGTGTTCTGCCTGGTTTTCCTTCAGGGTGAACAACTAGAATGGGTCAATGTCATCTGTGCAGCTACTCATTTTCTGATGCAGTTTGCAGAAAATAAATTATCATTGAGAATGCTGTAAAAGTGTCATGTTAATGTTCATTGGAATCCCCTATGAGCACTAGGTTTCATCTCAGAGTCTAAAGGTTTTTCCACCTTATATACAATTACCAGAAGAGTTCAGCATTAACCTATGGGAGGAAGATGAGACAGGAGACAATTAAGCCCATAATCTAGGGGGAAACCAGCAGCTATGATGCAAAAGGACAGGAACTTTTCCCTATTTTTGCCTTTACCACTATGTGGAAAAGGAAAGAAAGACTCCTCTCCTGCCCAGTGAAATAGACAGACATTGTAGTGTAGGAATTAAGGCATTCATCTAAAACAAATTACTTGAGATATGATTCTTGTCAACAGATTATTTAATGTAAAAATCAGAAATGTCTTGCTTATAAAGGTCATATCCAAAGAATTCTCTATTTTAGCTGAGAATAATAACCTAAACACCAATCCAAAAAAGCCTCCACAAGTCCTGTTCTCTTTTTGTTTCCATGAATATAGAAATCTTATGCTGTCAAACAGCACAGCTTTGAAAGCTGGGATAAGAGTGCTCTGGGCTGTGACCAGGAGACCAGAACATTTTGGGCAAGTGGCTGTCATGGTTTAAGCGGTTGAACCTAGGACCGTGGCTCTTTGTATTTTGGATTTCTCAAGCTTCAGAGAAAATGAACCTGGAGAACAGGTTTGAATTTTGTATCCATAGAGGTAAAATGTTTTCTGTGGTTCTTAGCGGTATCTGAGGCCCTAGTAAAGGGTGAATGGATATTACACAGGATGTAGCAGAAACATGTGACACCCTGCATTAGCACCTGGAGGCCAGGCAGGACACTGTGCTATACAATGATGTTAAGCAATCAAATCCCACCCTACCTGTGGGCCAAATATCATAATTTTATTTTAGAAAGCTTCACCTACCTCATTACTTCCTCCATGGGTGCTCCCTGTCATACACATTCTGTGCATATCCACAAAGATATAGCCATGCCTCTGCCATATTCCTGGACTGTATTTGGGTGACAGATATAACATTCAACAAGTCCACCTATATGCATTTTTTTTTTCCCCAGCTTCTGAGAAAGGGCTTTTTGCCACCTATATTATCACAAATGTCTTCTCAGTAAAATGCTCAGAGGCACTCACAATGTAAATGGTCTAATGCGGGGTTTTAATAATATACTTTAACTTTTTAACCCTACATGATTCATAGGTACTATTGAACTTCTGATCACGAAAAAAAACAACAAAACACTATAGTGGAAATTATATTGCATTGGACAGAAATACAAGAAAGTCTGAGTACACTGGTTCTGATGGCTATTCTAGGATAAAGAAGGAACCTTCAAGACTCCTGGTAAGTTACAATCAGAAGGCTGTACCTTCCCTTTAAAATGCTTTGCCACCTTGTGCTTTCCTAAATCCTTTTGATTGGATTGTAGCACAAATGTAACAATTTTGGTTTTTTGTAATTGAACTATATGAACATAGCCAGTTTCCTAATTTATGTTGTTAAACATTTTTGAGGAAATTGCCTATTGTGTTTTGTTGTGGTTTGCATGAATATAATGTAGCTCAGCTTCCCCTAAGATTTAAATCAAAGATGAATAACTTTGTGCTCAGCTAGAGCATACCATTTGCTAATTCTTCTGAGATCAATAATGATTAAATGAATAATTTAGTGAACTACTGTGCACTCTTTTTGGCTTCCTTATTTTCTTCCACAAACTAAGCTTGTTATTGGCAATAATATTACTTAATATTATTCATCTCATTTTAAAATATTATAATCTCATTTAGAGAGCTAGGGAAAAGAAAGAGTTCCCCCCTTTATTTTCCTTTATTTTTTTCTTAGTAAGCAGAAAATGAGTGTGCTTTTCTCTTCTGAATACTTGACTGTAAATTCTTCAGAAAGTTAAAGGTTCAATGTCAGGGGTTTTTTTTAAGCCTTCTTTGGACTTTATTTTTAGCTTTTGCTTGGTGATTGTTTCTATATTGCTCATTAAAATGTTGTGCAAATAAGTAATTATGAACAACATACCTAGGGTCATCAAACGTATAATGTTTTATACATGTGTAGTGAGTCTAATTCCACCAGACAGATACCACTTCTCAGACAGATTGATCTTGTGTTTCAAGTCCAAAATGCCTAAAAGAAATTATTTGGACTTGAGTGTGAACAAACCATTTGTAAAAAGTTAGGCAAGTGACCTAAATTAAGAAGCTTGGGTCATTCTAGGTATTCAGGTGTGATGCCTCTCTTCAGAGCCATTTTAATCAGGAAAGACTGAAAAAAAATCAATCACTTCTTATGTTTCTATCTAATTGCAACCTAAAATCTTTCTCAGCCAAAGTCTTATGAGTGGTCCAGCAATTATCCTCAGGCCACATGGGAAACCCAGCAACTATAGTTCACCTCACCCCCATAACCCAGCTCTTTTATTTTCATTTTTTATTGAAAATTCCATCAAAGGAGACAAGTACAGAGATTTTAACTTATACAAGTTTCCCCCCATTGGGTCAGGTCATGGAATCAAATAATAAAGATCTGACCAGTGAAATCTTCTTCCAGGGTAGGGTTCTCTGAGAGGTTAAGAGAACCAGGCAGGGTTCTCTTACAACGCTCACAATTTTTATTCCATATTAAAATCTGTTTTTTTTTTCCTTTTCACAGACAGTTAGACAGTAGAAGGAATGGGGATCTGGTATCCAATGCTAATGTTATACATTGTCAGTATTAAGTAGAAGGTTATTGAGTTGAACAAGAGTGTTGCATGACATGTCATTACCCTGTGTAAGTGAATTAAAGCAAACAAAATAGCTGGGAAGAGAAAATCAGTTTGGTAATACTGCTGGTAGTCATAAGGAAGTATTGATTGCATATTAACACAATAAGATATATAGTTATATGCAGTTTATGAGTTTTTACATTGATGTTCATTAACATTTTTAATCTTGGGTCTAATTGTCCCGTTATACTTTGTTTGATATCAGATTACGAGGTCTTTTCACTAATGGCTAACTTGGTATAATACTGCTTTCCATTTTATTTTCTTCTGGATTACAGAAAAGACAGATCCATGGTGATCTTATAGCTGATCCTACTGGCTACATGCTGAGCAGAACTTGGACATATAAGGGAGATTTTTCATTGGGCTATTTATGAACATGTGCTACTGTGTTACTGAATAATTATGAGTAAGCAACTTCATTTTAAACTTTGCATTACCTTTTTTGTGTCAGTGACAAACTCTCACCTTTGTGTTTATCTATCCATATTAAGTGTAAATCTGAAAATACATTTAATTTCAAAACCGAAGTATGTTATGAAGTGACAATGAAAAGACATCATGACATGTTTATTTTAGTGATTTTTTCTAAAGTAATTCAGTATGCAGCATTTCTTCAGTGTTCTACAGACATCATTTCACATGATCCAGTGCTAGGCAGTGTATTTTGGAGGCAGTTTCATGTCCCTCATTTGGTTTAGTTTCTTTGGTGTCAGATTGCTTTGTGCGTGAAGAATTCCTTTCATAAACCCAGTGTTTCCCTTTCCCTGGCAGCAGCAATGTCAACAACCTATCTGTCAGCCTGACTGAGGTATTTACAAATTGTTTTAGATTTGCACATTAACATGATTCAGAGTAACCTTTTACATCCAGTACCAAGAGATACGTTCTTAACACAAACAACATCTAATAAATGCATCCAGGCTCTTTTTGTGCAGCCCCTGGCAATAAAGGTGATGCCAGACAGAACAGCTCCATTGGGTACTTGTTTAAAACCCTGTATTTTTATTGCCTGCAAATGTCAGGTATCTAACCAATGCTTACAGATAGATTGATATAGGCAGACTTCATAAGTGTCTTGTTTATTTAGAGAAAAATATCAGAGAACTCACTGGGGAAAGAACTCTTACAAATCATACTAAAATGATAG